ATATAAATGCTTGTCTCTGTTTCCTGTATTGTTATCAAGACTAATGAACTATAATAAAGGGAATGAGTTTATCTGTATTGATTTTAGATTTAGGCAAAGCTTTAGAAAGGATTAAACATCTTGAACGAGGGGACTTAAAAGTTTGTTAGTAGCTGCCACAGCGTGCGTAGAAATCGTTTACAAGTTAGATTTATTGTCTAATTTAGCTTGAAGCATATAAGCAACTTGTTCATTTCTTGAGTTAATGGTAAGAAAAAATCGATAATATAATATGGCTAATAATATTATCGGATTATATTAAATTGAATGAATGATATGACTTTTAAAATGATTTTTTCCGAGACCCTTGAAATTCTCGAAAAATGGTATGTATATGAGAACTGCCAGGCACAAAGATGAATTGTTGCACGAAACTGAAATGACATATTTAAGGTAGGTATATGCCTACCTTAAAAGTTGCAATAACTTTTAAACTAAAATTGACTGGCTTGAAAACCCACTTTATTTCATGTATTTTATATTATTTTACAACTTCCTCCAAAACCGTAAAATATTATTTTGATCTAAATCGTTGCATCAATGCACAACTGAATTGTCTTAAACACCAGTTAGGTCTTAAAGTGGCGCATTTTCAAAATTTCTTTTACCGATTTTATATTTTGTGATGTTATTTCTTAGCTTTAATTTTAGTCTAAACTTTCTTCATTTATTCATTCTTCCCTTATCCTTTCTCTGTCCATTTCCTTCCATTTCCTTGTTATTTGTTAACATGATTTAGTAAAAGACTACATTACAATTTATAAACGTAAGTAGATTTGTTCAAGTTACTTCTATTGAGAGAAAAAAGAAGAAATAAGACTTTTGTTTAGGAACCATTCAGAACGAACCTAATTTATACATTAGACTCTCATTTCAGTACAGTACTTATTTATAAAATATATTTTTTAGAAACGCTTGAAACTTAGATTATTTTTCTGAAAACTTGGCCAGTTTTATTTTTTTCCGAAATTAGAGTAATGTTTTCACTTTTATTTATCAAAATATTTTATAAATAAATATAATAGTGATATTAAAATAGGCATCAAATGAAAGGAAGAGAAACCAAGATATTGGTCATTCATGGATATTCTCTTGATGGTATTTTGTGTGAGATGTTGTTTATTTTATCTTTTTTTCTTCTAAAATGATTAACTATCATAATTATACTGAGAAAATAGCACATAATTATAACATTTTGATTATTTATTTCATATATGGATTACATAACATTTGATGAGAGATATCTGTCCAGCTCACCGTATAAAGTTCTTCATTATTGCAAAAGTTGTTGGATTACGGATTATGGAAATATTACAAAATCGGTCTATAACGTTTCAGTTAATATTGAAGCATCAACTTTTATTATCTGTGGATGTTATCAAAATGTTCGATTTCACGGTTGATCTATTTACATTTGCTTAGGAACTTGGATTTTGATAAGCTAAAGGAAACAGAATAGGTTGGAATTAGGACCGAGAGATAAAATTATCTATGGAGTTGTAAAAGATTATGCAAGGACATTCCGGGAGTCCCTGATGAAGATCTATGTGTTTCGAAACGATATGGATTAAAGTATCTCAGAAACTAAAAATCGAATCTGCATAATGTAAGCGAGGGAAATGTTTTCAGCATTTCATTCTCTTTATAATGAGTTAATATTTATAATTTATATTTCATATTATTAATCTCGCATTGTTGATGTTTTCACTTCTATCGTGTTGTTTAAAGTATAGAGCTTAGTTTTTAAAATAAGATTTCGATAACCGGAAAGCTAATACATATACGGAATATTGATTTTTACTAATTAGCCAATAAAATTTGAACTGTAATTAATTTGAACTATAGCCAATAATTATTTTTCCGATAGCAAACCATTCAGGCACCATTCATCCCGAATCAAAGTGTAGATTCGAATGCGAGTCCCCACATTCCAGAATAGTGGATTCTTGTAAGAAGATAGACGTTCTTAATCAGGATTGGCTCACTTGCTAAGCATTGGTAATATAACTGGTAACTGTAATACAATAAATTTTGTAGCTATCCAACTGCTATATGTATCCAGTTCTATTATTCGTAATTTACTCAACGAACAGAGAAACTTACGAATTAATGTGTAATATCGATTTAACGACGGTCCCTCAAGAATCAAAGGACATCCGCCGAAGAGGAAGAAACGTACCTTCCTCCAGCCCCAATTTCTGCTCGGTAGCGCGTGCTATCGAGGTTAACGCACTCACGCACTCAGTTTTGATTGATGGACCGGATCTGATCTCGTCATAATATCGCTAGTTGATATCCTGGCAGTCGCTATGGTTCCGCCTTCTTGATAGGCACGAAGGGTTGTGTAATGTTGAAGGTAGGGGCTGTGTCTGGCAGGATAAGCAATTTGCTACGTTTCACATGAGTCGATAGTATCTGAAACAATCGATCCAAAATAATATTACTCGGGGCGTTTCAACTCTCCAATAGCGTTCATGCGATAATAACTTGTGTTTATTGGTAGGTTGAGATATATTAATTCGGAGAGGGGATTATTATAGTTATTATAAACTAACATCCAGGATGAATGAGAAAACAAATATTATTATCTTTGACTTATATTAATTAGTTTTATATAGAGTTTGACAATTGTTACAATTCATTCTTTATGCATCACCAATTCTTTATTTCACTGTAATCTTTTGAGATAATTTCTGTACGCCGAAGGTGAAGAACATCATGTCCATTTTTGTATTTGTTCAGGGGAGACAATGTTTCATAATGTTTAGCTATCATTATTTGTCTCTTGGTGAGTAAATTTGTACTCCGGAGGTAAAGTACACCCTATCACATTTTTTTACGTTCAGAGAGCCAATTTTCTATAACTTTGAGCTATTAAAATATGTTTCTTAGTTACTAAATTATTTAATGAATAAAATGGACATGGTGTGGTTATAAAGGTGCACAGAATTATATAAATTATTCTTCATTCATATTAAAGTGCTGTGTTATCGAATCCCCTAGAAGTTTGTGTGGCGCAATGAAACTATTGAGGGAGACACATCTCTATGGGTTTATTAAATGGGTTAAATTTTTGATGGAGTTTTAAACTTATAACCATATTTCTGTACGATTTTAATTTGAAGGAACTTTCAAACCAGAGAACAAAAGAAACATGGAACAGTTTACAGCTGATTAATAGTATATGATCAATTTTCAGATCACGGAACCTGCAAAATATAAAGAAATTTATCCACTATTCAATTAGCTGTCTACCAGAAAGAAAGAGAAATAATTTATTTAAAATAATGTTGCCCTACTACATAGGGTTGTTTTATACACAGCATACTAATCAATCCATCTGGGCATAAATATTACATTATTCCATCATTATAGAAACATATCACACTAGTCACAACATTCATAACACTAGTCATGTACACCAATATAGACCAAATCGCACCCACGTACATCAACGCAATTCTATAAATATAGACAAAAACCTAAGACTAAGACTAAGGCACCAATTAGGCACCTGATATTTCGTAATACTGTGCCTTCGAAAACCATGCTAGGTCCTAGTCTCCTCTCTTGTTTTTCGCCGTATTTTTATTTGAATACCTTTAAATATCTATTAGTTATGAGATCAGATTGAAGAGACTATTGTTTCATTAGAGCCATCTTAAAGGTTTCTAGGCGATCCAATGTATCCAGTTGATATGTAATTTATAAAAACCTTACCCCGATTTTTGACGTCTGCAATTTCTGTAATTGGTTCTTAAAAGAAAAAAATTAAGCAAAACTAAATCCTATATTTTATTATTCTATTTTCTTCTTTGAATGGATGGCTTGACCATTTATAAATATCCTCATATCCAACTGCTTCTTCAGCAAACCTTTAATAATTGAGATACTTTTCTCTATATTTTGTCCAAAACAACACTTATATCTAGTCTGAAAAACGAAATCGTATGTAGGGAATTTTCACTTAATAATAAAGATTTTTTTTTTATTATTTAATTTCATTTCTAATACGGCCAGCTCCGATAAGAAACTCTATCAAGTCCTATTATCCATTTAAATATCTCTAACACATTTCTGCATCATCTATACAGCATCCTATTAATCCTATTGGTTTTTATTTTTACTCAAAAAGAACTAATTTCAGAATAAATAAATATTATGATTATTGTCTTGTCCTTTGAATGTACAGTCTTCAAGATGCCCACATAAGGTGTTAAGATGACATTTCACCTGAGTATGACTTGCTAGAAGTCTCTGCTATTCTCAAAAGAACCCCTTACATTGTTTCGATAAGTAATGAATCATAAGCTGTTATATAGGTCGCACCAGAGCGACAAACAAAAACCTAACTCTTTTGCAACATCCTCTCATGAAAAAGGCCGTGGACAAAATTGGTGTTACGCAATTATAATAATAATAAGAGAATTCTTTTTCCGGATCCTTTAGCGCAGGCGACAAGTGTGTAAGGCCAGTCATTAGCCTGGTTCTCATGCAGTTTCATAGATGGAGCTCAAGTCTAACTGCCATTTTCCGTTCCCACACCGTTTTCCGCCATTTCCCACTCCATGCCAAACAACAAGGTGCTTTGAAATTCCATCGAAATTTGCGGTAATTGCATTTGACGCTAACACTTCACACTTTTGTGTGATTCGCACTGCTGAATGAGGAATTGTATAAAGGTTTTCTCTAGCTTACAAATCACAATGGAAATAATTAGATGTACTTAAAACAAAAGTGCATAGGAGTTGAAGTAGATGGACTTACATCATTCTTGAAAGAAGCTTGTGTCCTTGACGTTATAGTCTGTTTGTTTACATCTATGCCGGAAGTTTTAAGAGTTTTTAGTCAATAAAGAACTGAGAATGATTTGAAGAATAACACGATAAATATATACGTCCTTGGTATTACAACCTTATGAGGCCTCTCGAAGAAAATTTGTCATTCTCTTCTGTTTATCGTCATGGTCCGTCAGTCTGTTCTCTGCAGCGAATCCTGCTACTTTGCCTCTGACCCATCCAGTGGGCTTTCGGTTTTCCAATCCTTCTCTTCTTCAATAATCTATTATAAGGCACCTTAATCCTCATACGATCTTGCCTAAATCTTTTTAATGATCCCGCGCAGTAAAGTCTGTTTAGTTTGACATAATATACCGCGAGTGATTCGGAGAATTCCAAGTAATGCCTTCTGTTGTGACCTCTCCAACCGCCAGTTTCTCGTGGTGGTCTATAAATTCTTCTTCAAATTATTCTTTCGAATACAATTCCTCAACCTGTTAATAATTTAGGATTCCAAAAGAGCAACTTGTACAGAGTGATGTTAGTGGTTCTGTTAATTAGCTTCGACTAAAAGAACAATTTTTGTATCCGCGTTTTGCCATTATTTTTTTTTTTTTTTTTGGAGAGTGAATTAGATTGAGCCATCAGATCTCCGATGTGTAACACTCGGGTAAAGTCGACTAATTATGTTTTTTTTTTCATATGATTAAAATATCTCAAAAGCTAAAATTCGGACCTGCATATTATAGGGAAATGTTTATTATCTCATCCTCTTTGCAATTAGCTATTATTCAAAATTTTATCGTAACGCGTTATATCATAAAAGAGAAACAATAGTATGGAAAACCAAATAATAACGAGTTTTATTGAAGGTATGGATTAAAATATCTCATAAACTAAAAATCGGACCTGCACACTGTAAGCGTGTTAATTGTTCAGCATTTCATCCACTCAGCAATGGTGTATTATTCGAAACTGTTTTTGTGGAGAATGAATTATATTGAGCTATCATATTTCCGATGTGTAACGCTTGGGTAACATCGGCTGGACTTGACTGATTGAAGTGTTTTTACATATGGATTAAAATATCTCAAAGACTAAAAATCGGACCAGCATATTGGAGGAAAATGTTTATTGTCTCATCCTATTGGTAATTAGCTATTATTAAAAATTTTATCTTAACGTTTTATATGATAAAAGGGAAAAAATAGTATTGCAAACCAAATAATAACGACTTTTATTGAAGATATGGATTAATATATCTCAGAAACTAAAAATCGGAACTGCACACTGTAAGCGAGTTAATTGTGCAGCATTTCATCCTCTTTGTAATGGAGTATTATTCGAAACTTTTTTTGTGAAGAGTGGATTAGATTAAGCTGTCAAATTTCGGATGTGTAACGCTTGGATAATGTCGGCTGGAGTTGAGTAAAAATCGGACCTGCATGTTATAAGCGAAGGAAATGTTCATCATTTCATCCTCTTTGAAAATGAGCTATTATTCAAAATTTTATTATTATAGGCGAAAACGGAAAACTAGTGTTGAAAAACTAATAATAACTAGTTTAATTGAAGATATGGATTAAAATATCTTAGAAACTTTGAAAAAAGCAAGCTGAATCTCTAAAGAAGTGTTTTTAAAAACATTTCATTACTCTTAAGTTGTGAAATAGATTCGCTACTGATTGGTTAAGAATCATACACGGCCATTTTTATCTTCATTACTTGAAAACAAGAGATTCACGTAAGTGACAACCACCATCTAGGGAGGGGAGGATTTAGGGCTGAAGCCGCCCTCTCCCAAAATGGTAAAATATAACCATATTTTACAGAAAAAAAATATTAGAAACTATCCCTTAAAGTATGATTGTTTGTGTAATTATATTTAAAAGGACTTCAAGAATCACTCAAACACTATTTCATATAGGTAATAAATTTCTTTTTCTTTTTTTTTCAAATCAGTTATCGATATATATATATACATATATATGTATATATATATATATACACACATATATATATACACACACACACATATATATATAAAAGTTTTCGGGTTGAAGCCTCCCCTCCCACCAAAAATTAAATCCTGGATCCGCTAGTGGTGACAACACTGTACTAACAGTCAATTCTTCGAGCAACATCTTCAAAACATTACGATTCTAAAAACAATATGGAATACCTTATCAGCATTACAAAAACATTGGTGATTTCACATCTGAGTCTCCTCTTCGTACTGTTTGGGACGTGAGCTGCAGCTTATCACATATTAGTCTATTGGTATGTTATTAGTTATAAATTTGTTAAAAAAATAAAATCTTTTTTTGTCTGATTCTTGGTGGTTTAATTCAGTATTTAAACTTTTTTTTTTTAATAATACCAGTAAGATTTATTTTCTAAGCTACTGCCTTTAAATAATTTAACGAACCCAATGATTAAAATACGTATTTTTAAAATTCTGTTAAAGAAATACACAACCATTGTCATAAACAGAGCAAAATGTTCACACAGTCATGTATGACGACTGCGTTTCCTCTGGTTTCCGGTGTCATTATTTTTATTATGCGGGCTGAATGTTCCCGGAGGTTCTAACCTAATGGACTCTCCCTGTACCACAAGGAGTAACTAAGGATTTATACATGGAGAACTAGAAATATCCATATTGTGTTTCCATATTATGGAATATTCCATATGATACTGCATGACGATTAATAATGCTAAATGTGCTATTGGAGGATGGTTCCCTGACTTATTTTTTTATCCAACTAGGCGAAGTCATAAATAAGGCAATATGCTTAGTTAACTGTAACGATTTATTTTATTTTTTGTATCGATTTTTAAGTTTATGAATTCATTTTGCTTAAGTATTGTGTGAAATGTTACGTTTTGGGGTGTTAAAATTTATTCGGGATGCCACTGGATAATTACTCATGATAATTATCCAGAAATGTTTAATAAAAAATTAGTAAAATAAATTTGGATCTATAATGCATTGATTGGTCCAGAATTGATTAATTGGATTTCTTTTCTCAAAGCCTGATTAGTGTTTATCATGCTTTCTAATTACACACATTACTTGTGATCATCATGATATAAAAAGGTGGCAGAATTAAAATAACTTTTACTAAGAAACTTAATTTATTTCTATGTTTAATTAAGAATATATACAAATTATATTTACAATAACAAAATGCGTGATTCAATGTAATAATTAACTGGGAAGGCATGATTTCAGATGGACTGTTTGAGAATTATTCTAACATTGATAAATTTATTGTTGGGAATAAAACTTATCTATTATCGTATGTGAAGTGGTGTAGTTGGTAGATTTCTTCTGATCCGAGATCATCTCATCATGGTTCAAAGCTCTGCCAGGATCTTCATGGTCTATGTTTGGCCATGGCTTCAGTCCCCAAGCCGGCAGAAAACAAGAGACCCATCTTCAAGGCCGGACATCAACATAAGCCCTCTTTCTTCTCGGTAGATTTTATAGAAATATTCAAGGTGGGGCAAGAATGGTTCTCATTGGTTCTTAACTTCACCCTATTACTACACAATAACTGGTAAAATCCAAAAAGGAACTAGTTACTTGTTTTTACTCTGAGCCTTCCCCAGGGTCCAGGATCAGGTAGGTCGGTCCTTATCTACTTGTACCTCCTCCTTGACGCTGGTTTTTGATATCAGAAGTCGGTTTCATTCAACCTTGGTTTACACATCTCATAACAATTTTTTAAAACCTCATCTGTTATGTTCAATACATAGAATATGGCCTATGGTTTCTAAATAATAACTGTTATTATATTTAATGTTTTATAAAATACGAAAAAAATCAATATAAAGAATATAATGAATATATTAGTAATATACATACATGCATTAGAAAATCCAACGACAAACGTCTGTCCACCCACAAAAACACAGCTGGCAGCCTCAACACAATACATAGCTAGGACACGACGGGAAGACAAGGGGACCTGTTAAACAGAAACACCCCAACTTAAATAAAAGACGAAGTCTTTTGTTCTCAGTCGCCCACAAACGATCCATTTGAATCGTTTCTCAGCCTACGCAACAAAACGGAAAGTTCTAAGTTTAAGGGAAAATATTATGACTTTAATATTAACCCATTGAAAGATTGATCAAATCAAATATTGAAAGACTGTAATAAACAATGTTTTTCATATTAAAAAAAAATATGCAAAGAAAATGATATATATTTCTTTTCTTTAATGGTTCAATGTGTGTCCGGTAAGTTGAAAAGCATTTATTTGTAGAAATTCTTAAATGAATATTAATTTTGGTTTTCTCTTACTGTTGATGTTTCTAATCAAGGGAATTCAGATTTATAGTATATTTATAACGCTTTAGGAATATCTCTAATATCCTGTGTGAAATACAGTCTAGGTCCACAAATGCTTTACAAAATGTCGATACAATTATTTCTAGAATATTATGGAGCATTTTTAAGAATGATTGTGGGTTTGGATGTGCTCGACAGATTACAGAAACTGAGGGCAGTCTCTTCCCTCTTCATAACTTCAGAATGTGCATTGTTTTTGTTTCAGGAAAACGTTGTTTTTTCCATTTTGATTCTTTTTTCTTTTCATTATTCTTATTGCTTGTATCAAGTCGTAAGTTTATTTTTATTATAATAATTTTAAAAATAACTTTAAGATTCAAACCAGACTGAAATGCCTGATGTTTCTGATTACTTCAGCACTTACTAGACAAACGCTCTAAACTTCCAATTAATTACAAAAGACTCATATACATGACTATAATAAGAGCTATTTGGACTTGCGGGGTTGAGCTATGGGGCTGCACTAAACCATCAAATTCCTCTCGTATCCAATATTTGCAATCCAAAATCCTTCGTAAAATCCTGAATGTTTCCTACTTTGTTACAAATAAAACCATCCATAATGACTTTAATGTTTCTTAAGTTTCAGATCTGGCCCAATCCAGATACCTATCCTTCCATAATAAAGTTCAGAATCATCCCAACCTTCTCGTTTCTGAGACCTTGCTTCCTCTTCAATTCCTGATAATCCTCCGAGGCGTCTGAATTGATGATGGCCGCGTGATCTCCTAATGTAGAAATATCATTAGAGTGCTACCATTGGCTAGTTTCTTAACAAGTGATTCATTAAGAAAATAAAAAAATTTAAGATAATGCATCTGTTCAGCCATTTATTTATTGATTACAAAGCATAGTAAGGAATCATCATTCATTTTAAACAGGTTTTCAAAGAGAAGATAATTTATTAAAGAAAAAAAAAATGTTGAACAATAGGTGAAGAAATAAGTTGTAGGTTAATAATGGGAGAAGCGTTCCCCCCCCCCCCCAAAACTAGCCAATACACGCTAAAAGGTTAAAAAAAAAAAGTTCTGTTGGTCGTTCTCGTTAGAAATTTTGTTTTTTACTTATCTAAATCCATATACACAAGT